CTTCCTTCCTTTGACAAGGAATCAATAACAGCCCTTAAAACTTTACAACGAGGAATTAATAGTTGCCTTACGGCTCTTTCTATTTATAAAATTCCTACTGAGAATTGGGACCCAATTATTATTTTCATATGTATTCAGCGTCTGCCTAGGTCAACTGTGATTTTATGGGAACAGGGCGTTAAGGACAAATCTGTGTTGTCTACTTGGCATGATTTTGATAACTTTCTGACGGAAAGAATTCAAACATTGCAATGTCTTCACGACCTTAAAGAGACCAACTCTACTGATGTGGAATCTTCAGTACATTCTTACGATGCTACTTCCTCAAAACCATCGTGTATATTGTGTCCAAACCAGTCCCATTTTTTGCGAAATTGTCGAAAGTTTAAAAATCTTTCAATAATGGAAAGAATTTCTACCGTAAACAAATATAATTGCTGTTCTAATTGCCTTTCGAGGACACATAATGTCAGCAATTGTAAAGTTAATAGTAATTGTTTTATTTGCAATAATCGGCACCATTCTATGCTTCATATTCAGCATACAGAAATGCCTTCTGTTTCTACTGAACAGAATTCTGGTGCGGTTCTACGAACCACTAATTCGCCTCAAAATAATCAACCATCGACAACGTCGAATAATATTACGTCAAACCGTCAAGTATTTCATACTAGATATAATCAGTTCGTACTCTTAGGGACAGCGACTGTTAATATAAAACATAATAACAATAAGTATCAGGTCCGTGCTTTGATTGATCCGGGTTCGGAATGCTCGTTTATTACTGAGCGATTACGAAAAAGGTTTAACATTTCCTCGCGTTCTACGAATGTTGAAATTTCTGGTGTCAATAATACTGCATCAGTAGTTTCAAGAAATATTTGTTCTTTGAAAATCGGATCTAACTTCGATTCTTCCGTAGAACTAAATATAAATGCATTTGTTTTACCAGAAATATCGACAAATTTGCCTACGACTTCCGTCAACGCCAACATTCAAAAATTATTGCCAAATCTTCGTTTGGCGGATTTTAATCCTTTTGATAGCCGACCTATTGATATCCTTATTGGCGCTGATCTATACCCTTGGATTGTTTTACCGGATATACAACGAAACTTATTAGGGTCGTTATTAGCACAAAAGACGATTTTTGGCTGGATTCTGACAGGTCCAGTTAATCCTAATCAATTTAATTCAGTTTTTAACTTTCCGGAATATTCGACTTGGTCGCATAGGAATTGAAATACTTTTATCGAAAAATTTACTTCATTATCACTAAATAAGCTCACTAAAATATGTTTACGTTTTGCCTAATATTTAAGTATTTAGTTTATACAGTTGATGGATCTGTCATAAAACCAACCATGATTCATTCGGCTTAAGATATTGCAAATGAATTATTATATTTTCATTAGTTTCATTCGGCTTAAGATATTGCGAATGAATTATTATATTAACATTTGTTTCATTCTGCTTAAGATATTGCAAATGAATTAATTGTTACAATATGCTTGAGATATTGCAAGGTGGCCGGCAATGTTTAAGCGAGTTTTGTTGCGAGCTGCATTTTGGTAATTGCTCCTTTTAATGAATAATACTATTTTTAACAACGTTAGAATCTAATGCCAATTTTATACATCTTTGCTGGAAGATTCTAACGAGTAAACCGTTAACGGTACTTAAATATTGTTTGCCACCAAATTAAGTTCGTTTTACACAGTCTTAAGATATTGATGTTGTCTACGACAAGCACTACGTGCACTTTATCTTTTATATAAAAACCTGCAAACCTTCTACGAGGTAATCTTTTGGTTTTTAATAAAAAGGAGATCTACGTCTCACAAAACTTGAAAACTTTATTTTGTTTTATTTTCATACAAAATCTTGGACAAATTGGATTGATGCCAAACAGAGTCTATCGGAATATGTACTTTAAAGACCAATATTTTTATGCGTTACAAAAATCAGAATAAACACATTACCCCCACTATAGAGGTGTAACTAACTAACGCTTTTTTCATACTCGGCAAACCGACAAATCGGTTTTCTAGAAATAGCCAATTTTTGGTTAATCGACAAACTGGATTCTCCAAAAGTCGTTTTTTTAAACTCTTAAGTAATAGAAAATTTAAAGCAATATAAAATTAAATGCAATCAAAAACACTAAATATATTTTTGATGAACGTTTTGCAAAATGTTTCGTGTGCTTTCATACTCTGCAACGAATACTGGACGAATGGTGTGAATGTTTTTAGTTTTTGCATGTGGCAATGAATTATTTCGTTGCTTGATGTATAAAAAAAGAGATTGTAATAAAGGCAATGCTCATTTGTATAATTGTCAAGTAAAAGCAATGCGAAAGCAATAAATTTGTGAACGGTCAGAAAACGTGAATGGTTTCTTACTGTTCTCTGGTACTTACATGTCCTAAATATTTACAGTGTCTCTCATAATTATTCGAATTTGGGTAAACTATAAAAAGAAAGCAAATTTAATAATATATTTTATGTGCAAAATAAATAAATTAATTTGTTATATTGTCTAGATAGTCCTTATGTTTGATATAACGCTTTTTAAAACTTGAAAAATTTGCATTGACTTAAATTAATTGTGCTTTTTTAAAAAAAGTTCATGAAATTGCCACACAAAAGTATACGAATTTTTCCTGTATTTCATATTTGATCATATTATACGCAACACAAATTTTAGAATCAAATGGTTTTTATGCGTAATATTGTTTTAAGGGGTTACTATCCACGGAAAGGATATATTTTTGGCCCATTTGGTCCACAATTTTTTAGGAATTTGTACCCTGTTTTCATGTAATATCATTAAAATGGCGATTTTTGGCCATAATTGTAAATTTTTATCCTTTTTTCCAGAGATAAAACAAAAATTTGATATTGGGACTTAAAAGACCCCTTGGGGTATCTAAAAATAATATTTTTTGTTACAAGAATCTGTATTTAAACGTTCCAAGATAAATTATTCGGATCATTTTTCTGTCGCTAATTCAATATATTGGAACTTAAGTCTATTTTTATAATACTAGGATCAACTATTTTCCGGGCAAGTTTTCTGGTATATATTCTTTTAGATATCAGCTTTTATACATTTTAAGTTTTCAATGTGTTGTGGAAGTGTACAACTCCAAAACATGCCTCGAAGAAGCACCATTCAAAATAGTAAAATCATTATTTTTATATACCAATGGCCTCCATGCTGCATGGCACGATATCATTATGATCACATCAAAAATGTTGATATGTGTTTAAATATTATTTACTATGATCAAATTAAAACCAAAATTTAGGACTTACAGTGTTATTGTAACGGGCAACATAAGCGTGAAAGTTACGAGTAGTAAAAACTGAAATCTACTATATAGGATGACGTTTTGTTAAGGCATGTTTTGGGGTTGTATACCGCTATAATATATTGAAAATTTAAAATACATTAGTGCCAATATGTACATGAATATACACTAGACAACTTTGTCGGAAAATATCGTCCCTAGAGGTACGAAAAGGGACTTATGATCCAGATAATTCAATTAGAAACTGAAAAACGATACCAAAAATATATCTTGGAACTTTTAAGTACAGATCCTTATAACAAAAAATATTATTTTTAGATACCCTATGGGTTCTATTAAATTCCAATATTAAATTTTGGTTTTATCTCTGGAAAAAGGGTGAAAACATTACAAATATAGCCAAAAATCGCCATTTTAATGATATTACATGAAAAGAGGGTACAAATCCCCCAAAATTGTGGACCAAATGGGTCAAAAATATATCCATGCGGTTAATAGTAACCCCTTAAAACAATATTAAGCATAAAACCATGCGATTCTAAAATTTGTGTATCGTATAATATGATCAAATATGAAATACAGGAAAAATTCGCATACTTTTGTGAAGTAGTTTCATGGACTTTTAAAAAAAAAAAAAAACAGAACTAATTTAAGTAAATGTAAAGTTTTCAAGTTTTAAGGGGCGTGATATCAAAACTAAGGACTATCTAGACAATATAACAAATTAATTTATTTATTTTCCACACAAAATATATTATTAAATTTGGTTTCTTGTCATAGTTTACCTAAATTCGAATACTTATGAGAGACACTGTATATTAATACCCAGCAAAAAAAGTGTGGAAAAAATGTAGAATTTTCATCACAACTAGTAACCCGAAGTGCTTCAAATTCAGGTGAAAAACCTCTGAATTTTACATTAGCGTATCATTGGAGGGATGTTGTTTATTTTTGACAACTTTGAACTACATCTAACCTTATCTTTAGAAACTGTAAAAATACGATATTTATATGTCAAAAATAAACCATATTCTTTCAATGAAACGCTTATGTAAATTTCATTGGTTTTTCATCAAAATTTGAAGTACTTCGAATATGTTGTTTGTAGTGACTTTCCTACATCTCTTTCCCCATTTTTAACTGTGTTTTCATTTGTAAGGATATGTTTGGTTTATAAAAGCGAAAAGTTTGCAATCGTATTTTTAGATGTGATTAAGATGTCGTTTGTAAAGTATGACATCAATTATTTTTTGCTGGGTACGATTATACACACATAAAATTTGGTGACTTTAGCTGTTAAAGTATCCCGGATAAAAACTACAAATTCTTAAAATTCAAAAACAATCGCATTAAAAAATATAATTTTGAGTCCATAAAGGGACAGTGGCGAACATTGCAGCCGAGAACACAGAAAAACGATAAAAAACATTGCATGATCAAGGTAAAGACTTTAGACAAATTGTAGACAAATAGTAGAGAGAGCATTAACGTCTGTGTCATTATGTGTCAAAACTTTGAAGGCCTATAACTAAAGGATCCGAATAGAGCAAAAAAATATTTTTTTTCATTTTTGTACTCTGAAGTAAAATGACTATCTTGTGGTTCAATTTTTTTTAAATGAGTTAGATTGAACACTGGATTGAAAATTATACTTATGTATATAACCCATATTTACTGAACATACCTGTAATGCTAACACCAAATTTTTAATATCATTTTCCATATTAATTTCTCTATAAATGAATTTCTTTTGGTGATCTCCTTTATTTTTGTTCTTCGATTTTTTCTTCGTCTCACCAACCAAATAGCTGCCTTCATTATTACTCTCCAAACCACTCCCTCCCGGGACAATACAGGTGTCAAGATTGTGCTTTTTTAGTACGTGCTCGATGACCGAGGGACCACAATCCACCATTGGCATAATTACACGTCTCAAATTATCTCCAGGCTGGCCAGATAATATGACATTTCGCAATTCATCCTCACTTGGTAATAAAGACTGTTGTTTTGCCCGATCGACCGGATATTTTTCACGAACAGCAAAGCGAATGTCTTCACCTTCATGGTGAGGACGGAGTATAAAAAGAATTGTCATCTCATGGTCCGTTAGAATAATGTTACCGCGATCATACAACTCAACAATGATATGATAAGCTGCTTCACCAATACCAAACTGAAAGTCCACAATTCGATCAATACCCAACTGTTGCAGCTTCTCGAGCCGTTTGTTTTTTAAGTGTTTTCTTAATTTCATGCTAAACCCTGATGGAGCAACATTTTTCGGCCACTCAAATGCGGTTGTGTGAAAACGTATACCAGACTCAATAAGGAGCATTTTTTTCGATTCACCACCTCCTTGCAGCCGAATAAGGTAAGTTTTATTGTCAATATCATAGATCTGGTTAACTCGCAGCCCGACTAGCCTGAAAAAAGTATATTCATACAATATTCCAATTTATTATTTTTTATGAATTACTGTGTTATTTTATGATGCTACTTTAAAAATAATAATAGTATTTAAAATTTTTTTAATGAAATTTTATTAATTTTTATTATTTTTACGAAATACAAGAAAAAAGTAATAAAAACTCATTAATGGTTTCCAAGAAAATGGAAAAAATCCAAAAAGGGTAATTTCAGGTACTGCGCAAAAATATTCGAATTTTTTCTAAGAACTTTTTTAGAATCCTTGAACCCGTGTTTTATTGCCCATTAATTAACCCATTATGCAGGTAGTGTTTATATGGAATATTTAACATTATATTTTTTTTGGAAAATTGCATAATTATGTTGTAAATCCTTTCTGTGTAAGCGATTAAAATGTTCAAAGAAAGAGTTGATCAATTCAAATTAAAAAATTAATTTATATCTGTATAATTACGGCCGATCAATTAAATACATATAGGAAATGTTTGATAGATTCCCATCGACAATATATTTTGTCATTACATGTCGCATGGAACAAAGAATTCCATCGAGTATTAGCCATTGTCAAGTCGTCCAAAACTGCTGTCAATACAGGACGACAGAGAAATACTGAGGAAATACCGAAGGAACCTTCATCTATCAGCTCTAAAAATTAACAACGAACTCAGGACAGTCCTGTGAATAAAAATTAGTGTTGAAATTGTGGGCAAAGTACTAGGGAGCAATAATTTGCATGGTCAAGTACCAAGGTGGTAACCGCTCATATCGAAGTTAATCGATGTTAACTGTCTTGACTCCGCAAATAGACTCATAAGTAAGAATATTGGATTCTGGAAGGAGGTTATCTTCGACGATGAGAACAAATATAATATTTTTGGCTCAGATGGTCGTCAAATGATATGGTGAAAGCTTGAAGATGCCTTGGAATTAAACTTAAAACCAACTGCAAAGGACCCAAGTTGCTCTGTCATATTTTGGTGTTCTGTGTCCGTCCACGATGTTGGACTGCTATAATTTATTATTGTAATTAAAGACTAGAATACCACTTGTCAATTTTAGAGCAGAATTTGCATGCTAGTACCACCAACATGGGGCTACAACCCATTCAATTTATTTTTCAACAGAAAAACGTTCCAAAATACACGACATTGTACTTGAAAATGTTGATCATTTACAACACTAAGTATCTTCTTTCATCAAATTTTCAATGGAGTTATTGTCTGGACTTAAACTCCATTGAAAATTTGTGGTTATATTTACAAGAACAACTTTTAAATCACTCATTATCCTCCAAAACCACCATACGGTTGCTTTGCATGAAGAATGGGACATAATAACGACAGAACTATTCCATAAATTGGTAGAAACGGTCCCACGTCGCTTGGAAGTTGTTTTTAAAAACAAAGGCTACTATACAAAATATTAATTTTATTTTAATCATTTATTTTTACTTCATAATGCTAATCTAAATATGATGTATACAAAAAATTCGAATACTTTTGTGAAGCTATTTTTTAAAAATGTTAAATTAGTTTAAGTAAATTATTTTTTTTTTTTTTAATTTTTAAAATGTGATATACAATTTAAGGACTGTCTGGACAACATAATAAATTTATTTATTTATTTTTCCCACAAAATCTATTATAAAATGATGTCTGTTTTCATAATACATTAAATTCGAATACTTATGAGAGACACTGTATATGAAAGAACCACTCATGTGGTGAAATTTGTTTATGCCGTATGTATTAAAATAACAAATAGTTAACTTACGACTGTAATTCCGTAACTCCACATACGATATCAAAAGAATTAAATCGTAGCTTCATTTTTTACTTAATGTTTTAGTAAAAATTTGTATTTAATAAATGTAAATAAACTTTTAATTCTTTTGCTTAAAATATTTTACACGACACACTCCACAAAAAAGTTTTGCAAATTAAAACAGCCGTTTTAACAACAGAGATGTTACAAAATACGTAAACTAATAAAATAACGCCAAAAGCACCAAATTAAATTAACGATTTTATAAATCTATGGAAAGAACAAAAAATGGGAATTAAAAAATATCCAATTCTGTCAAAAAAAGTAAAAATATTGTATTTTCCTTTAATAATTTACACACTGTAGTTCGTAACTGATTAGGGTTGTATTTTGTTTTGTGTAGAATAAGAATAAACTACAATTAAATAAATTTCATCAAATATATTAATAAAATAAACAAAAACGTAATATTTTGATTTTTAAAACAGTAATATTCTTAAAAACATTAAAAGAATTATCGAAATGACGCGTGGTGTGTAACTAGCAGCTTGTAAAGCGCGAAAAGTTTAAAATGCGTAAAAGGCGTTGCGGCCTCAACGCGTGTTTTGTACTTCCACCTTTTAGGTTCGAAATGACGCGTGGTGTATAACTTGCAGCTTATGAAAGTGGAAAGCTGGAGGTCCACACTACGCGTCTTCGCGGCAAAGCATTTCGTGCTTTTCATTCCTTCTTTGCATCCTACGCATCAAGTTACGTACTACGCTTTTTAAAAATAGAGACTGTGTGCCAAACGGTAGCAAAGTTCTATGGTAAAATAAAATTTTCTTATGGTGGAAAATATTATCACTTTTGCTGTGCCAAACGAAATCTATTTTGATTACATGAAATTTTGACAATTGTCATTAATTGCACAAGAAAATCTGTATTTATTTTAATAAAAGAAACACCTTTATTGATTTTTTTTATTATTAAAATGAATTTCTACAATCACTAAAATTATAAAATATTTTATTTTTTTAGATTTTCAAATATTTCTTTTCATTTGTCAAAAATTTATGTAGCTCTATGAGCTAGTAAAATTTTATTCACCTCATATCTATCAAAAATATACATTTTCAGTAAATTGTAAGCGATTGGCACACACTCAGAATATAAATTGTAAAAATCTGTTGATATATTCGTAAGCCGCTTATGACGCTTATAAATGTAGAAAGTATATCGATCTACTAAGTATTAAACGCGTCAAGGCATCCTATGCTTTTATGCTTGTAACTTGTAGCACGCAATAACATTGATTCTACTTTTTTGAGATGCTTTACCACGAAGACGCGTTGTGTGGACCTCCAGCTCAAAAGCGTGAAACGCGTTGCCACTCAACGCGTGTTGAGGCTTAAAAGAACCAGTGCTGCTAAGTTCGCAGTATTGGTATTGTTGGCATTTTATTTTTGTACTTTTTTTTTTTTTTTTCGGGTTTTAATTAGGATGGCGGTACATTAAGCACTCATATTGCCAGGTTATCACACGTTTGTCCAGAGAAAACCCCACCAACCGACCTATACCTTCATATAGGAAGTTGGAGCATCCGGACTTAATTTCATCAAAAGTATTAATGGTCTCCACCAGAAAAAAGTTTTAGAGTTTTAATGGTCTCCACCAGTAAATATTTGAGTTTAAATGGTCTCCACCAGGTTATATCGTGAGTATTTTATGGTCTCCACCAGTTAAATACATAACCTCACTCTGAGGTAAAACGAAAGCACGCGTTTAATGAAGACAACGCATAACTTAGAACAGTTATACGAAGTAGTGCATTAAATTAGTGCGGGGTGAGAAGTAATTCTGTCGAAAGCCCAGCAACAAGCACAAGCCTGACCGTCCTTAAGAAATAAAAACGATGACGCGAGAGTTGTTCCCCAACTCAGACCTGAATTACAACTGATTTTTGTACTTTGTGAATATTATTAAAAACACAAATTATATTAAAAAAAAAAATTAGTTTCACATCTGAGTAAGGCAGAGACTTGCGCCGTTTCGGCTTAAGCCGACTAAGCCTAGCCGCCGAACAAAATGTCAAAGCCGCCGCCCCCGAACATTTTTCAGCTTAATACGGATTGAAAATTTCGCCATATTTTGTACAATTTACAGAACACTTTCGCTAAATTTATGGAATTTTACAATATAAAATTAATTTGTTTTCATTTAAGCAAGTTTTCTTTTGTTTAATAATAAGCCGCTCTTTGAAATTTGGCCGGTGTAGAACTTTGCTCAACGTTCGATGTATATGCTTCGCCTCAGATATTTTCGTGTTTTACGCGCCTAATTCTAGTCGCTGCTTTTACTTCAAACCAGCTTCGTTGACATCAACCAAGCTGCACCTTTTTAATTGCAGGCAGTGTGACCAGGTCTCAAAAAATGTTGCGGCTAAATCCCATCCAAAATAATGCTAGAAAAAATGCTAAATTGATTTTAAAATGCCAAAATTTTTTAGGTGTTTTTATGAACAATTCATATTAATTTGTAACTGAAATTCATTGTAATTTATAACAAGTAAGAAAGTATATTCGGCCGTGGTTGACCTTATGAGTATAAAATTTGATTTATTTTTCGTAATAAAGCATTTATGTTGAATTGAACCTTGGTTCCGATATATTTAAACTAATTTTCTGAGAAAGGCTTTCTACATTTGTATATGTATGGGGGCTAGGTAAAATAAAGGACGGACTTTAACAATTTTTAAAAGGTTTTGTCATTGGATCAAAAAGCATACGTGCTTATTGTTTTGAAAATTTCAACCTCTACCAGACGGTCAGACTTACATGGCTTAATCGATTTAGAAAATGATTCTTAACCGATTAGTATACTCAAACGTAGTATAGTGGAGTAGAGTAAAAAATTAAGTTCCGTGGTATTAAGATAAACAGAAATGCTAAAAATTATTTCAAATTTTTTGTAAATTTATCAATATGTAATGTCTCTAACTTTAAAATATTTTTGAATGCAAAAATTACATCAAAACTCTATTAACTACACTAGTTGCTCATGGTATATAAAACCTATACGTGTTTTCGGAAGGAAAAGTATAATATTTCTAGATTTACTTTTTTTATATAAACAATTTTATTTGTCTTCCTCAAAACACTTTAAAAATGGTTTTCATGTCACAAAAATATTGAAAATTCCGTTGAAATAATTTTAAATCTCGGTGAATAGATGTCAGGTTTATAACTCATACTTCCAAGATTTTTTCGGAAAAATATATATGAGAATGTATGAAATGAATTGAGAGATATATTCAAATCCGTAAGTTTGTAATTCTGGAATAAATTGTCAATTATATTTTCGAAACTTATGTATTTTTTTTAATTAAAAAAAAAGTGACAACAAAATTACTAAAAATTTGGTAAAAATAAAAAGAACAGAAAGTAGGATGAGAAAGTCTTAATTATATATTATTGATTTTTTTCAATACTTATTTTCAATAAATTAACAAGAACTCCTGAAGGATGATAAAAATTAAAACCTCTTTATTTCGTATAGGAAAAAATAAAATTTGTTAATTAACCGTCATACATAGCCTTTTCCAAAATTATATGTTTCATTCCATGAGCAAACAAAAAGTATTAGTTTGTAAAATAGCGTACTGAACGTATTTGTAAAAATATATGAAATCTCTTGAATTATTTCTATCACCTCGAATTTAAAAAAGCATTGGGTTCCAGAAAAATATTTTAGAATACAACATTTTAAAGTATTCACTTGTATTGGCGTAATTTTAAGTTATTTATCTTCATGAATCTTTTTGCATTATTTTGAATTACAGTGTAAATTATTACATTTCTCATATTTCTTGTTGCTTGTGTTTGGGTAGACATTTAATTCTGATTTTTTCCGGTTAAACCTATTTCCAATATAAATCTTTTTTGCAAAAATTTGTCTTTTTTTGTTTATATACTAAAATTGCAAAAAAGCTAAAAATGCTAAAAATATTTTATAAAAATGCTAAATGCTAAATTAAAATTTTACAGCTAAATCAAAATAAAAAATGCTAAATCTAGCTGCAAAAATGCCAAAATGGTCACACTGATTGCTGGTATGTCATACCGTAAAGGGCTAGGGTATCAAAAATGTGTATTTTAAATGGGAAGTGCAGTTGATGTCAATTCTGCCAACTGCGAAAAGAAATTCTGCTAGAATTTTTCGCGCCAAACAGTTTTCTGCATTTTTTATTTGCAAAAAAACTGTTGTTGTGTGTGTGCAAAAATCTAAAATGACAGAAATGACATTCTTTAAATAAAAAAATAATTTTTTACTAACAATTGAAATTAATAAGATTGTATGCTATACTACTATACCGAGGGTCATTGTGCAAAGAAACAGCAAGTGTTGGGTTTAATTTAGTTAAATTGTGGCTTAAGTCAGTTTTAGTGACATTTTTCAAATCACGTCGAAAAATTCACCACTAATAGAGAGTTCGTTTGTGAGTGAAATGACGTAAACATTTTTTTTTTTGATCCGATATTTTTGAGGTTTATCTAAAAAATCGGGAAAAAATGCCTTTATAGGTAAGTATATAAATTAGATTGTTTAAAAGCCAAGATATTGAGCTTTTTATTAAGGTATAATATGTTTTTGTAAGTATTATAGTTCCTGAGGTATTAATAATTGAATTATGATTTTGCTATTAAAAGAAAAACGTATGTATACTAATTTTTATTAAGCGAAGCCGGTGTTGGACATAACATAGAGGAGAAAATCCTTGCGCCCGGCCGTTGGCCGGTTCTTTAGGAAATCTTTATTAAGCGAAGCCGGTGTTGGACATACCATAGAGGAGAAAATCTCAGCAGAATTACTACCATGCACCCATAATAGAGCGCGATGTCTGTCTGGTGTGCCTTTCAGTGAAGCTCTTGTTGTCTCCAAACACTATGGTGGCCGAATATTTACAAGAAACAATTGTTAAGCCGCCTTTTATACAAATTTATAGCTTTGTATGTAGAGGTTGTTTGGGCAAAATATTGGTACTAACCATTGAGGGCTTTATGTCGACTTTTGATCCCTTATAGTTGTCACACTATACCAAATAAGCATTCTTGCTGGAATTAAAGTTTAAAACAAGTTCAATTCCTGTCAAACATTCAAATTTCAAGTGTTGAAATACACTTTCATTACACTTTAATTTAATAGCATTCTCCAGTGAAAACGAAACTTGAATTCAAGTCGAACATTACAATGTTTTGCACGAAATCTATATACATACGTATATAAAATTCTAACGTTGCTGACTGACTGACTGACTGACTGACTGATTCATCATCGTAGAGCCTAAACGGTTGAAGCTAAAGAGCTGAAATTTGGGCAGGAGGTTGGTCTCCCACCAAATGTATCCAATAAGACTGCATTTTTGGAAATTCGGAGGTTAAAAAAGGGTAGGAGGTTAAAAAAGGGTAAAAACGTAAATTCGGTAACCTCAAATCTCCTAAACTAGAAAAGTTACAAAAACAGTTAAAGCTTATCGTCGTTCATTTAAAAAAACGCGGACAGGTGTAACATGTAACATGTGAATTTTAAATAATTGTTTTTACGTTTTATAATTAAAATTTTCATTCAACTTTTGAAACTACTGAAAATAGTGTATGTGCAAAATCTAAGTTAACAAGAACGCCATTTCCTAAAGAAAGCAACTACCAGTCAAATGAAGGGTTTGATCTTGTGCACTCAGACGTATGTGGACCATTCCAAGTAAGTTCGCATACAGGTGAGCGATACTTTTTAACATTTATCGACGATTTCTCGCGTTATACAAAAGTATACGTCATGGCAAGGAAAAATGAAGTTATCAATAAATTTAAAGAATTTTCAGCAGAAGTTCAGAATTTTACTGGCAAGAAATTAAAAGTCCTTCGATGCGATAATGGAGGTGAATTTATAAACTCCGAAATGAAGAAAATGTTAAAAATGAATGGTATTATATTACAAACTACAGTACCCTACTGTCCTGAACAAAATGGTGTTGCGGAGCGTAAAAACCGGACATTAGTTGAAATGATTAGAGCCATGCTTAACGATGCAAATTTACCGAAGAAGATGTGGGCTGAATGTGTAATTGCTGCAAATTATATTCAAAACCGGTTGCCTTCAAAGTCTATTAGCAAAACTACTTATGAAATCTGGTTCAACAGAAAACCTGATATTAGCAACATAAAAGTCTATGGATGTAAAGCCTATGCTCAAGTACCAAAGTGCAAACGTCGCAAACTTGATAACGTATCTATTGAAGGTATTTTCGTTGGTTATGCAGAAAATTGTAAAGGATATAGAATTCTGATGAATGGAAGTAATAAAATTATAATAAGCAAAGATGTAAAATTTCAATTTACCTGATAAAGAGGATAAACAAAATGAAGAAACGGGTTTAGTAGATATTATAAATAATAAAAATGTGACTGAAATTGAAAACGAAGAAACTGACTTCGAATCTGACGATGATGAAGTTGAAGTCTTTGAAGATACTTATGAAGAAATTCCTTCAGATGATCTGGAAGAATTGTCAGTAACTCAAACCAGTCCTCGACGATCTGAACGACTTAAAAATAAACCAAAGAAGAGTTATAAAGAAATAGCGAAAAGTGCAGTAACGAATCATGATGTCATTCCTAATTCCTGGAATGAAATGTTGAATTCACCTAATCCGGACAAGGACTTGTGGATAGCAGCAGCTAATAAAGAAATTCATTGTTTGAAAAATAAAGATACATGGAAATTGGTTCAACCTCCCAAAGGAATGAAAATTATTGGATGTAAGTGGGTGTTTCAAAAGAAAGGTGATATTGTCAATAAACCAAAATACAAAGAAAGATTAGTTGCTAAAGGTTATACACAAACTTTTGGTGAAGACTTTGATGAAACATTTGCTCCAGTAGGAAAATTTGTTACGTTGAG